AAGCTGAAAGTGCTTTCATTTTTTATCCACTTTGCACTATCTAAACTAGAAGGTGTTATTTAATGGTCTTTTGCCATTGTATCCCATACTGTGCTCTACTGTGCTCTTTATCTCTCGATAATTTGGCTATTAACAGAATTTTGACCTTTTTTTTTTTTTCCTACATGAAGAGGGAAGCTTAAAATGGAATTAATACTAAAGAAAGAATTAAAAGGTCAAGCAGATTTCAGGTTTGGTATTCAGATACAGATTTCACCAAGTCCAATTAGAAAAGAGCAAAAAGTCCATTACTGTCTCAGTTTTGTGAAATAGAAGAACAATATTTCAATCCAATCATCACTCAGTGAACATGTGTCTCTTTTGAAGTGACCACCAAAAAAATCCAATGAAGTTGACACTCTCAACATGTATATATTGGCCTAAACTATTTTTGAAGCTGAACCACCTTTTTGCTAGGTGTCAGCTGGAAAAGGTATGCAAGAGAAATGACCATTTCCTGCTTTCTGTGGGTTTAAAAAATTCTTTCATCTGGAGGTGATCTAATGCCTTTCACTGGCGTCAAAATCACCTTAAACAAAAACATGTCCCTTTTTAAGAATATGCTGTGTGTACAGTGTGCTCTTCCAGAGAGATGAAGTATTAGCATTTGAAAGGACAGATGAGAATGCGTATTTTGGAAAGACCTTTGTTCAGAGAATTACTGCTATATTATATGTGCATATCACCATGGTAATTGAAATATTTGCCACCGATGAGAAGGTATACAGCACAAGCCTTTTGCCATTTTCCATGATGTGGTTTCTAGCAAAGAGTGCTATTTGTCACTTTAAAATTTATGGTAGGATATTTAGCAGTTGTGCCTACTGTCATAGAGATGGATGTGGTTTGAAAGCATGAAACAAAAAGGAACAGGTAATGACATCTTCTTCTTGCAGTTTAATATTCTTCCCCATTTCCACTTAAAATGTGAACAATTCTGGAACTGCTGAAGCCACAAAGCAAAACCAAAGCTGTGCTCTTTGCATGGCTGCTGGTAACATGAAACAGTTTATTCCTTTCTTCCCATCATCACTGCTTTTGGGACATTGTGGCAAACAAAACAAGCCTTTCTCTTCCCTGAGGTCAGTCCATGCGTGTGATCTCTGTGAAGGGTGTAGCAGCCACTGAGTGAAGGTTTATGTAAGGGAATTACATTATGAATCTTATGAAGGCAGATAGGATACACATGTCCATGGCAGGGATAACCTCAAGGAACCTCATTAACATGGCTCACTTAACAGAGAGAAAAAAAAAAAAATCACATGCTTGCACTACCATGTGTGTAGATCTTATGTTTTAAAAAGTATTTTGTAGGAAAAGGTGCGGTATAGATATCATGGTGAGTAGTACTGCTCAGTGAACTGCTCGGGATACAAAAGGGATGGCACTCTTTTTTGCTCTCTCATGCTGTGGCCGATTGTCACTCTAGTTTTCTGTTCCTCAAAGTAAATCCAGCTCTCTGGAAAAATATCTGGTTTTGTGTTGTCCTCAGCACTTAAGAACAGGGGTAACCCCATACAGAACTCTATGCTTCTGTGCTTTATTTAAGGCAGATGGAAAGTAGAACACAGTTAAAAGGTAAGGGGTTTCCTACTCAGTGCTGCCCCTTTTATCTCCCTCTTCCAGTAGAGGATGGACAGATTTTCATTCTTGTTCTGGTATTGCATGTGGAAGAGATAAGTGCCAATGCCAGGCCTTTATTCTTTATGCAACATTTTGGTTACCAAATGACCCTGTGCTTAGTCTTATGTAATGTCTGAGACAGGTTCCCTGGAACGCTGAAGTGTTTTGCAGTTGGTAGCTTCTGAGATCAGCTTTCCAGCCAAGTTGCATTTAATGCATCCTTCGTGATCTTCCATGCAGGGAAAGCTAACACACGTGTATTAATTTTTGTTACCTACCACGCCCTTTTATTCTAGCCCAGGTACCAGGGTGAGGTTGCTTTCACATTGATTTTATTAGACTAGGGGCAGATTAAGACCCCTTAATTTCTTGTTCTGCTTAGGTATCAGGCTGAAATACCCATACATATACACTGACCTTCAGATGGACCCCACACAATGACTCTGACCTGGCAGGGACCAACTCCCTAGCACATGAAGGCAGCTGAGTGCCAATTCTTGAAAATCATGAGGCAAAGCTCTTTCCTCCAAAAATCATATGAAAGAGCATTAGGCATTACTTCGCTCCAGTGTTTGTCCACAGTCTGCATCCTGTTTCCTCCTGTGGCATCAGAATAAACCCCTGTCCTCCTTCTCCCTTTGAGCAGTGTTTCACTGTGTTCACTGTGCTTCATTACCTGAAAGCCGCAGGCTGGTGCAGAGGAGACTTGTGACACTGAGATCAGCTCAAGCCTAATGGGAGAGGAGCCCGCGTGACTGCAACCGCACGGACTTGTCTGGCGGTGCACTTTAGGTAAATGAAGCCCAGTGTGCTCGCTGTTCAGCTTCTACATTTTTTTTCCTCTTTTTTTTTTTTTCATCTTTTTTTTTTTTTGTTACCCCGTGAAGCTGCTGCTGCAGGTTTTGGCCTCAAAATTTTGTTTCTCAGGATAGAGAGCCACTGCTTCTGTATCGTCAGGCTGCAGCATGACATGCAGCAGAGACTTCATTATGCATAAGCAGAGCCATTGCTAAGGTAGGCAAACACTCTGTGGCTCTGCAGAACAAAAGGGAAGTGAGAAACTGAATGAGCAAAGGTATTATTTGCTGACAATAATTGTTTCCAGTTGCTGCTGATGGCAGGGATTAATCACAGTGCCTTAATTCTTTATTTGGGAGCAGGGAAATTATTAAGGGAGGGAAGAGATGAGAAGTGCTGTTCCAAATCTCCCTTGAAAAGTTAGTAAATAATACTCTGGAAACAATGCTTAAGGTTTTGAAACTTACAGTGTGTCTTTGAACCCTTATACTCCTTCTTTCTAATTTGTAACAGAGATGCAAATAAACCTAGCTAAAAGGTGGGAGGAAAATGCAGCATACAATGTAACATCCATGTTATGTGGAGTTATATGTATTAGTAGTTACAACTTCATTTTTTGCCTATAATTAAATCTAGATTAATTACATTCAATGCAATCCCCATTTTAGTTCTGTCACACCAATGCTTAACCTCAGCTGCAGCTAGCAGAACTCCAGTCTGTTGCTGTTCTCTTCAACATCTACTCTTTCCTGATTTAATTACATCCTAAAGCTACTGTTTTTCCATAACACCCACAAGAAACTATTGTGTCCTATTCTGCCATATATTATTTGTTTTGGAATGAACCACTCTCTAGCATGGAGGGAGGGGGACACAGAAACACCTGAGTCAGGAGTAATTGTCACTCATTTGACCAAGGCCAGTACTGTAGCTACGCCTACCACAGCTGACATCTCCATTAAGCAAATTGTGTTTACATCACATTAAAAAATGATAATGAATTTTCACTCATGGGATATATTCCCAATATTTGCAAAACTTCAGGATTAAGCCTGTGACTGTATATCTTCTAAACAGATTTTCAGCCAAAGCAATTTGCAAATGTTTTTGATCAGGTGTATTCCTGTAGCACCTTTAAAAATTGAAATGCTACCAGCTCTAAGGATATTTGCTAGCCTGGTTTTGAAAATAATTTCTGTTGAGATCCAGTGCATTATCCCTCTTACTCAAATTTTTCACTGTCAGTGTAGCATCGGACCAAATCGTTTTTATTCCATTTACTTGCTTCCCCAAGGTTTGTCCTCTTGGCTGCTTTGAAGAGGTGGAGCAGAGCAGAGCAACACCTTCCCCACAGTTACACCTCCCCCTCTTTTCTCAAAGATTACTTTTCTGCAGCATTTAACCTGCACACAGGGAAAGCTCTTGGCTGGCTTTTAGCAGTTAACTGCAGTCAGCTTAACACGTTATGAAATGCAGCTTGCCCTTTCAGGTGCTAGCCAGATTTAATTTGTTTTATCTTCAGAGCACAAAAAAAGGGGGGAATGCTTTAATGAGAAGTAGCTTTTTCGGTTGTAAACTGCCAGTGGGACCAGGGCAAACTTCCCACCCTTGTTGGGTGGGACAAAATTGGTATCAAACAACAGTTCTGAGGTAAAAATTATCTGTGCCTGTTCCTAGTAGGATTTGAAGTTGAAATTAATATCTTGAGAGTTGTCTTTGTGGATGAACACATCTAACCTTAGATTTAATCAAATCATCATAAGCATAAATGTGGTTCTAACATGAAGCAATTTTCAGAAGAGAGATGGCCCAAAGCTTGCTGACTGCATTTGTGTGCCATTAAATGCAGAGTTCTGCCAGTCTGGAATCTTCTTCTGCCTGATACTGTCTGGTTTCCTATAATTTTTCCCCTCAGATTTTCTCTCTTTCATTGAAGTGAGTGTTCACCTTTGAAAGAAGCAGCTGTATGGGCTCCATTTGAGACTAAAAAGGATGCCAAAACTGCCATTCAAATTCAGTACCACAGGCACTGGAATTACAGAGATGCCCTTGCAAAACTAGGTGCTCTTGCCTGCTTTTGATGGAGAGCAAGGAGATTTTTTTCACTCTTACTCAACTTAATGGTTTGTCCTGATTTTTCATTAACTTGTCTTTGCCTAGCCAGCAATTCTTAAATACTTTTCTTTCCCCCATCACTCCCTTTTCTCTATTGCAGTTCCCTGTTCTCCTTTGTCGCTTACTTTCCATAGCACAGGGTAAGAATCCCTCCTCTGGGGATAATTTGCTCTGGTAAGAAGCTACCACACCACAAAACAGGTTGAGGTATGAGGTGGACTTCAGCAAAGTCCTCTGCCAAAATTAACATTCACCTCAGTCCCGCCTCTCCAAACTGTGTATCTTAGCATTAAGATGATTTTCAAGCAACAAGGGCAAAATTAGACCGCAAATAAAAATGATCCAGAGGGTAAGTGTTTGGCCTCATGCATTTGCATTTGCAGGCAGACGTATTTATGAGTCCTCTTTTGGTTTGTGTTTTGTAGGACAAAGAAGGTCAGCCACTGCTACCGCATCGTTTACCGGCACCCGGAGAGGACGCTAACGCAGGACGAGGTGCAGCACATCCATCGGGCTATTGAGGAGTCAGCAGTTCGGGAGCTTGGGGTGGAGGGCAGGTTCTAGCAATGCTGCTCTGGAGCCCCAAGGACAGTTACTTTTTTCCTTTCTTTTTTTTTTCTTTTTTTTTCTTTCTTTTTTTTTTTTTTTTTTAATTTCTTTCTTCTTATTTTGGGGGTGGTTTTAGGTCACAAGTAGAGAGATGGGTTTTGTGACTGAACACAGAAACCAATTGATGAATGGCCAATGGTAAAACTGGCAGGTAATAAACATTACTACTGAGAAATCATTGATGAAATGCTGGTGCTTTATTTTAAGAAATAGGGGAACAGCAGTAATGTAAGATTTCCCTCCTGTTACGATGAGAAATACACTGCCTGGTGGTTTTCTGTGTTGTTAATTGGTCCCTGGGTTCCATTAAACTGTAAATACTTGGCATTATTTCTGTGTTGACAGGATCTTCTGTCCATGCAACAAGTGAAGCAAATCAGAGACACAGGTTAGTTCAGGGAAGAAAAACCCATCCTGCCCCACCCCACCCCAAATCCCACTTTTTTTTTTCTTTTTTTTTTTTTTTTTTTTTTTAATAAGAGATGTCAGATTTTGCTTCAAGAAACCTTCCAATAAATACTTCTTGTGAAGTTTGACTCTCTTACCTTCAGTTACAGAAAAGGAGCCAGTGTGGCTTGGGCCAGGCTTGGCTGTCTACAAATGCTGGGTCATAGGCAAGTTTTTCCTGTTAGATCCTCTTGCTCCCACAGAGCTGAGCAGAGCTTAGTGAGGTGCTCCAAGCTCTGCCGCCTTCACCAGGGGAGAAGCTCTCATCTCACTTATCTTTGCATAGACACCAATGCAAGATAAGTCTCTTCCTCTGTCACCATCAAAGTGTTGATATCACCTATGGCAGGATGGCAGTAAATAGAAACTCTTCCCTACAATGCCCTGAAAAGCAGCTGTTTTGATCTCTAACAGTATCTTGCTATCTAGCAGCAGTGTCTGCTCAGAAATTTGACCTTTAAGGCAGGAAACCAAACTAAAATGGGAATTCTGCTGTCTGAGGCTCCAGTTGCTTTACAGGATGCTTGCCTTTTTCATTGCAGGTTGTAATAAGTAAATTCTGGTGGTGGTATGGTGCTAGGGCCTGTAGAAATGTTCAAATGATCTGATAAATACTTGATGAGCCATTGCAGATGATGATATGGAATATGGGACCTGTTTTGGCTTGTGATAGCATTTCATACAGTCTTGCAGGTCGCATCTGGTTGCTGTGCAGACAACATTCCCTCCTTCAGGGAAGAAGGTGGTAAAAATGCTGCAATAAACAGCATCTAACACTGATTTATACCTTATCAAGAAACATCTGTGCAGCAGGTTTGTAGTCAGCCATACGAAGCCAGTTACTATTGCAGATGTGACAGAGGCAGAGAGCTCATTTTAATTTCATTACTCAACATATTTAGCTGTGTAAACAAATCCTAATCTAAATTGCTGTTGTGTTATCCAAATAACTTGATTATGAAAACAGTATGTCAGACTTTCTACAAGGCAAAAGGAATGGGTGCCGTTTAGGCATCAGAAAAACCTACACGGTTATTTTTAAACCATCATTTACTAAGATCCATAAATACAGCCTAGCCCATTTGATGTTTCTCAGTCTTCTTAATCCTTCACCTTTTCAGAATTCTCAGTGATGACATGAGGAGGAAGAGAAGGAGGAATTCCCTGAACTGCACTGAGCAGCACTTGTAAGACAGGGCCTGATTGATGCTGTCACCCAGGGCAGCAGAAAATGTGGATATTAATTTTTGAAATTGTCTGTGGAGAGAGTACCATAACGTGTGTGCTGTATGACGGAACCAAGTCTCTTGGGAAAATAGGAGAACATCTGTGGTGAAGTAGTTCACAAGATTTCCCTTTTAATTTATTGATTAGTGAGGCTTTCCTTTTCTACTCCCCAAATCTTTCAGTTCTTCTTTGATTCTGATCAGTCCGTTTTGAGGGCATAGAAATCTGGGGAAAACAAGGAGGAGAAAATTGGACATTGAGCCTTTTTCACTGCAACCACAGGACATCATGTCTGGCTTTGCAAGGCAGTTTGGGTGTTCTAGGATCAGCCCATATCCAGTCACTAACATCAGCTGTGTTTGACTCAATGATTTTAGAGCTTTTTTCCAAGCTAAACAAATCTGTGATTCTCTGTGTCTGGATTGCACTCCAGCGAGCACAGGCTTCCTGCAACAGCCAGGTCTTGGTGGAGTAGTGTTATCCTTTGAAACCTGAAAAATTAATCTCGCAACTAATAGGATAAGGGGGAAATGGAAAGCTTTCCCTGAAGGTGACCTGACACCATGGGATTATCTTCTGGAGTATGTGTTTTCGTAGGAGCAACTTTCAGGCAAAAACATGAACCATTAAGATTAAAAAACAGAACAGCCTCTTCAGGAGCAAGCGTGATTCAATTATATGAAGGCCTGTAAAATCACATGGACTGGCTGTGAGCATAATATAAATACTTGGGTATGTTTAGCTTAGGTAAGCCTTTGTCATATATGTTCTAGGACTAATCTACTCTGAAGACCTCTTGTTCTGGCAAGGATTCACCACAAGTAGCAAAGAGACCTCAGATCAAAAGGCATCAGTGTTGCACTTTTATGCTCCTGTCCTCTGGAAAATATGATCTTCCCTTCAAAGCTTGACCTTAATTTTACTGGGAAATTTTGTATGGATAGTAGTAACCTCTCAAACTGTGTGATCCCTTGTGGGTGCTGACAGAGTGCCCATAATCCCAAAGCTGTAAAAGCCATGACTTATTTTACTGCTGGGCAGAGACACAGAATGCCAACAGGACCTCAGAGACTGGACTGATCCTGGTGGGAGTATGACTGAGGAAGGTCCTTGGGACATTCACTAACCAACTCTCTAAAGAAAGGGTTGCCCTCTGCTGTCACTTGGCTTTTCTCAAGGCATATTTAGCACAGAAGTAGATGAACTGACTTGAAGACCAAGAGCAACGTTGCTGCCAAGGTAAGATCTCTTGCTGGTCTCTGCTACCCTATAATCTGTCACATGAATATCTCCCAGCCTTGGATGAGCCCCAAGTCTAGTGAAAGGGGATGAGTGGGGATGAGTTCCCAAATACCAAAGTGATACCATGCCATGTGGAAATATTAAGGGAAGCAGCATTTAAGTAATTAATGGGCATGCTGACTGACTAGTGAGGGGCACAATACACTGCTTCTTGTTTTTAACAGTTCCTTGTGTATATTTTTGTGTGCCTCTGGGTTTTATATCAGCATCATTTAATAAAAGAGGGGAAAGTCAATTGTAGCAAAAGAAGTTATGGGAGTACTGGCTGGGCATCTGTGTGACTGAACAGTATGTACTGTTTGAATGCTCTGAGTGCTGGTTTTCTTCTTAGTTGCCATTGGTTTTCAACTTAACTGTGATTCCTGAAAGACCAAAGATTTAGTTTTAACACCCAGTTTGGGATCTTCCTAGTAAAAGGCAGCAGATTTAAGATGCACTAAGTCTTGCCTTGTTCTGATGTTCTTTTTAAAGCTGCTGCAATGGAAAGGTGATGTGATTTAGATAGGCAGGAAATGGCTCTTTGTTTTTACCCTTGAGACTGCAGTCACCTCTGCCATGGTATTGCCAGGTGTGATCAAACAGTCGCACAACTCTGAAATCAGTTTTCTTCAGGGAATCCAAACTATATTAGTAAACCACTGGTGGTCATTATTGCCCTTCCACTGAGAGTGTTACTGCTGTCCCTTCTGCAGCTGGTGGCTGCATTGCAGCACTGAATTTACTGACTTCCTACTCTGCACCTGTATTGAGTTTCTCCACTACTGACATATTGGTCTCAGCCCTTGAATAATTTTGTGTAGGTATTAACTTTTTATTAAAAAAATAGAAACAAAAAAAAGTTGTGGGCTTTTCATGTGTTTGGTAATTTTTATCTGCAGTGATTGGTGCATTTCAACTGTCTCAGGAAAACTTACAGTCAAGACAGGACTCTTTGGTGGTTCATTGAAGTAAACACAGGGACTCTTGCCCTAAAAAACAGAATTATGTCCGTCTCATTGAGTTCATATTTGGGTGAAACTAAAGAACCTTGTCTTCATTGTGGGTTGACTGAAGGTTGACTGGTGCTCATTAGTTAAGCCAGGGTCAGAAAGCACTCTGTTGCCACCACCACCCCAAACACACACAGAAGCAGTTTTATGCACAAGGACATTCTGTGTGATTCAGTGTGAGCATATACAATGATTGTGCTGGGTATTTCAGGCTTGCTAGTTGGTGAACTATCTCCATCTGAATTGTTATAATCTGGGAGAGAAAATGGCTTTGTACTTCAGCTCTGAAATAAGTAGCCACATTTTTAAAGCTCAGAGCTCTCTTCAGCTAATATCTGCTGTGTGTCTTGCTCAGAGATGACTGTTTCTGTAAAACAGATTTGCTTTCTGTGTAGAAGAGGCCATATTGACTAATTATACACATCCTGATCAGTTTTTAAGATATGCAAGCATTGTCTCTGAAGGGCCACCAAAACTAAAGCAGTCTTGTGACGACCTTGACAAAATTTGTAGGGGACACAAGAAACTAGTCACTGGTACTTGTTACCTGCTTTTAAATGTTGGTACAACCACATCAGAATTTTAAGCTGAGTATCTCAGAGGAGACAATTGCAGTTCAACACAGAGAGTGGACATATGCTGGGTGAAGGCATTGACTTCTCCAGAATGTGTTGTATGAGGTTTGATCATCATTAACATCTGATGCGTGCAAATGTTTGGCAGTTTTTGTACTTTTGTGCTTTTGTCAGATGGCCTCTGTTATTCTATTTATGCCCACTGTTAACTAAGTAGAGTCTGGTTTCTTCAGCCTTTTTCACTTGGTCTTCTGACACGACCTTGCTTTTTCAGTTCCGTTTTCTTACTTTCTCATACAATTCTTGCTGCTGAAATTTGGTATAACTTTAGTGAAGAAACAGTGCCAGACTGCAGGCAGGGAGATTTATTATGCCACAATCTAAAGCCTGTGCTCCTGCACCACATTATTGCAGGGTCTCTCAGTTCTAACCCTCTGGATGCAGGTGATTAACACATGGTCCAGGGAATTGCGCTTCTGCCTGCTCAGTAATTTGCTGGGCAGCACTGCAGTCATCTGGAGCAGCTGCCACTTAAATGGGCAGTAGATTGTTCTCTTTTTATTTTAGTGCCTGCAGCTTCACCGTGTGCCACAGCCAGACATGCTGTGTTGGTGTTTTTTGCAGTAAAGCATCAATTA